GTCTCGGTGCTAACCTCGAGTACTGGTGTTCGGTGCCTGCTCAGGGAAACTTCCCGGCATCAGGCCGAGCTGAGCACCATGTTTCTCCCACTGGCTGCTGCTGTGGCTTGTCTGAAAGCCACTGGGATTAATATTGCTAGAATATATGGTTTGTTTATCTATTTTTATTGTCCTGTGAATATACCTACTGTATAATTTATTGTAATGTTAGTAGTTCAGTCCTGTGATGTTTGGTATAGAAAATCTTCACTTCAAGCCAGTGGGAAATTTTGCTAGGGTGAGGAGTGCAGGCCTGGCCTCTGCTTCGCCTTTTTTCTTTTCCATTGCAACACAATTAACCTTTTCATTAGAAGAGCTCTGTTCCAAATAAGCAAACTTCTCAATGTGTATTACTGAGCCATTTCAAGCTGTCTCTTGCTTTGGAACAAAACATCTTTGTTCCAGCCATGCATGACATTTGAAGACCTATTTATACAATGTGTCAGCTCCATTTGTTTTCTTCATCCTGATATTTTCATCTGTATTTTTGGTTAGCCATCCAGATTGCAAGGAGCAAGGCTGCTGCTGGTTTCCTCCTGCACTGCTCCAGACAGAGGCACTGACTGCCTTTGGCCTTTCTCCCCTTTTGTGGGCAGAGGTGAAACAACCCAAAATCAAACACAGTTTTGCCTACTTCATCCTCTCTGCACGGAGACCAGCACCACCAGGCAGCTGTGGGATGGAGTGCACGAAGTGCTTGCAGAAGGACCTGGTATTACTACAATTTCTCTCTTGGTGCCCTGACTGTGGGTGACACTGCCTGTGGGATGTACACAGATGCAATCCCTTCTGCTGGAGGGGACTCTCTGAGGGCCAGATTTCCAAGTTGCATCACTAAATATGGCCTCCTGCAAAATACCTGCTTTTTCCTTAGATGTTCATGATTTGTCCCAAGTGTCTAATCAGCCCTTCTTGTCTAACAGCACAATGCTAACTGATGCAACAAAACCCAATGTAAAATTAAAAGAAAAAAATCCTTACCAAGATATCGAGTAATAAAACTTAATGTCCTCCTGATTTTAGTATTGAGTAAGTGTAAATAATTATGGGGTTTGGTCCATCCTCTCCCTTGAAAATAATTTCTCTATCCTGGGACAAATCTTCTCCTTCAAGAAGGATCCAGGGTAGCACTGTCCCTGCTACTCAAGCAGCAATATAATATCTCTCCTAGTGCTGGCACTGCCTAGTGACAAATGAAAGTTTAAGTCCTTTTTGAATCTTGTACACAACCTGCCAGCTGAAGGTTTCAGCTGCTTTAACATATGCAGGATGCCAGGGAAATACCGCAAGACTTACTTTAACCAGAAAACGAGGCTGAAGGTGCCAGCCCAGCAGTGGTGAGCCTGGGGTTGCAATGGCAAAACCCCATCTGCTCTCTCCAATATTATCCTCACCAGGAAGGTTGGGGAAGGAGGGTGACACAGCCCCATGCAAGCAAACCTGCTCCTGCCAGCTATTACATGGCCCACTCAAAGCCTTTGATAAGGCCAAGGAAGACTTCAGCGTTGGCCTTGTGCCTCCCCATCCACATAAGAGGAGACAGAAGGTTTGGGCTATAAGTTCAGAGATTAATCCTCAGAGCACCTCACCGTTATGTTTTACATAGACACTCCCTCCAGCTCTTGGGAAAGTGCACAATTTCCACTGGACATGAAGCTGAAGGTCATTTTCATGCCAAACATTTAATGTGTGCCATATTCAACCAGGCTGCGTGGTGGATGGGCTTCTGCTGCAAGGAGTGGAGGTGGTGGCATGCAAGGGGGAATGCCTTCAATAGCATGTGCTTCAAAAGCAGTGCTTGTGAGCTTTGCTTTGCATTCCAGTGGCTGGGCTAGAGCTGCGTGCATGGCCTCGCTTGGCACAAATGAAACCAAGGCATCAA